TGGAGGTGGAGGTGGTGTTGGTGTTGCTATCGTGGTTGGTGGTGGTATTGTGGTGTTGTTGTTGATGTTGGTGGTGTTGTAGTCATGGTGGTTAATGTTATTGCTTTGTTGTTGAGTAAGGAGGAGGAGGAGGAGGAGGAAGAGGAGGAGAACAACAACAAAATCAAGAACAAGAAAGCAAACATGAAAACAAACAAGAAGAAGGATAAGAACAAGAAAAAAAGTACTAGAACAAAAACAGGAACGAGGAATCGAGGAAGAAAACACGAAAACAAACAACAAGAAGAAAGAGATTAAAAAATACAACTAAAACAAGAAAAGGAATAAAAACAAGAATAAGAAGAAGAACAAAAAAAAGAAAGAAAAGAAGGACAAGAGAAAGAAATACAAGAACAAAAGCAAAAAAAAGAGGAAGAAGAATGATAAAATGAAGAAAAAGAAGAACAGAAACAAAGAGTAGAACAAGAACAAGAAAAAGAACAAACAAGAGGCACCACTATGCCACTCATCTTCTACCACAGCAACAACAACAACAACAACAACAGCAACAACCACAACAACAACAACAACAAGCTCACCATCATCATCGTCCCCGCCACTGTCACCATCAGCAGGCTGCGCGGGTTCCTCCACCGTCCGGCCAGTCGAGGTCGCCGGGGGTTTAGAGGTCGTGACCGGCGTCTTCTTGCCGCACACCGTTTTGTGAAGGAAATCCCACATCTTCTTCCAGCTGTTCTTTTTCTTGCCCGAGTCTCCCGGATCCTAAAATAGACAAACACGACCACCATCACAACACTCTTCTCCAAGTTCCAGACTGGAAAAAGACATTAGCAATTATAGTCTTAGTATGCCACTCATTTCTTTACTCAGATGCTCTCTAAATACCTATGTCATCCTGGTCTTTTCCAACTACAATCTGTTCAGGCTGTTCCTTCACATTTACTGGAGGGGGCATACAGTACTGCATCATGTTAGGCACACACTGCTATCGTTCACATATTTTGTCTCTGTTGACAACCAAGTAAAACCAAAACCAAATCGTGAAATCACAAAGTACAGACCCTGTTCCATCCCCTAAATGACCTAATCTGAGTCGATGGGGGAGCAAAATACACAGGACAACTGACCTCATCCCCTCCTGTGTCGATCGGTACAGAGGTGTTCCCTGGGCCTGGGGTGGTGACCGTGTCATTCAGAAAGTAGGTCATGTTCTCGCTGTAAGGCAGTAGAGAGATCAGCTGAGCTATCTCCTCCAGCTCTCGCTGAAACTTCATGAAATGTTCCGCCTGGAAACACGATATAGAAATGTCGTACTCAAGAAATGTATAAAAAGATAATATTATGGATATTATGTCTTACTCAATAAATGTATGAAAGACAATAAGTATATACATACCTTACTCAAGAAATGTGTTTTAAAAAACAATATAGATAGTATGTCTTACTCAAGAAATGTATAAAAGACAATATAGATATGTCTTGCTCCAGAAATGTATTTTAAAAAAACAATATAGAAATGTATGAAAGACGATATGGATGAGCGTTACTCAAGAAATGTATAAAACACAATAAAAATAATATGTTTAAATCAAGAAATGTATAAAACACATAGAAATGTCTCTTTAGTTTTAGTAGAGCTTTTACAGTGCTCGCAACTAAAAAAACTCCACTAAAACTAAATAGACATATCTACATATCTATGTTTTATACATTTCTTGATTTAGACATGAAATGTATGTTGAACAGCAAGCAACAGTTTATTCAAAACAGAACACCATTAATTTGTAGCACAAACGAACACACATGTACATATATATATGTATGTACAACCCACAGCCCTGCAAAACTCACCTTCTCCAAGAAAGAGCTCAGCTTGTAGGCAGTGGCCGTGAGATTGACTGCCCTCAACTTCAGCTGGCAATTTGAGACAAAATACAAAATTTTGTTTTCGGTCAAGGCTTCAATAGCAATACGAATAAAAAGAGAGAAAAAAATACACCTGTTATTCGAACTCTTGTTCTCTATTAAGACTCATTGTTTTGTTTATGTGAGTTAAACAAAGCACATTGACGCAACAAAGGTCATTTAGTGCTGGGAAAAAATACAGACAGACAGAAATGATCAAGGAAAAGAAAAAATCAGGACCTACCAGTGGCACCCTACAACTAACCACATTTTGACTCTTTCAGAATGCAATTTCCATGTAGTAAGTGAAAAATGAACTACAATTCTGAAAATGCTTTGTTAAAATTATTTTACCCATATATCCATTTGTGTAGCAATATGACAAAATAGGTGCTTTCAAGGTATCATACAATACCTTTACTTTCTCACAACTGTGAGCTTTTGAGGTCCTATTTTCAAGATACTAAAACTTTGGAACTACAGTAGCTAGACTTGCACTGTCTTCCCCCCACTTGTGGATCTTTAACTCTTCTATCTCCGGGGGGGGGGTACCCACTATTCCACTGCCCTCTTTAGGCACAAAATCTTAAGTTGACATACACATCACTAAATTGGTCATTACATCAAAACAACGAACCTATTTTGACTATTCTTCATCTTATGAATGAAATCCCGGTAAAAGAGAGCTGTTTTTGGCAGTTGCCGAAAAGTAATTTGATGCCGAAGTCGTCATAAAGGAATGTGCCCAAGCCGCTGCCAATGACTCATCGACACAGCAGTGCCAACCGCGAGCCGTTGGGAGCAGCTTGCAGGAGATAAGGAGTTAATGTGATAAGCTACATAGAGTTGCGACACACATTGCCAGCATCATTTCACAGAAAGGCTCTATTCAAATAAAGACATTGGGGGCCATATTATGATACAGTTTTATTTGGTATCGTTACTGTCTTTGAAGCTTTTAATTGAAAAATCCCCAGATGTCCAAATCATTGTTCTAAAAGTGGGCAATCTTTTTTTTTCATAACTCTTAATCTCCAAGGGGGTAAACCCACAAACCCAGGCCTCTTTTTTGGTACTAAATCTAAAAATGACAAAAACGTCACTTATTTGGTCATTAAATCAAAACAAGTCAACCTATTTTGATAGCTCTGTGCCAGTGAGCGGCTTGCCGGAGATAATTAAGAGTTAAGCTCTCCTCAAACTTCAAAAACAACGCTATATAAGGACACTCCACCTACCATCTTGACCAGTCGGTCGTCGGAGATCTGGGTGATGAGTTCCTGGGAGAGTGCGGTCAGCTGACTGTGGTTGAGGTGACACAGGTCCTGCTGGAGATTAGTCTGGAGGGGACGGGAGGAGATTTTTAGGTCAGTTTTAGTAAGTGTTTTACAGCACTTGTAATGCAATTTGGTCATGTAAGTGCCCAAGATTAGAGATGTTACAAAAGTAAAAGAGTAACAAACATTTTTAAAAAAGGAGGAGAGAAAAGGATGATAGATGTTTGATAGGAAAGAAGGAGCAAACCACATCACTGCACCCACCAACCACCCAAATTGGAGGAGAGACACACATAGGGGGAGAAGCAAAAATGATACTGATAACTGTGAGGAGAAATCTAACACAGAGCTATAGTACAATATTCTCTTTCGAAGTCATTAATTCTCTCTCTCTCTCTCTTTCGAAATCATTAATTCTCTTTCTCTCTCTCTCTGTCTCTCTCTGTCTCTCTCTCTCTCTCGCTCTCTGTGTATGCATATGAGTCACATCTCTCTCTCTCTCTCTCTCTCTCTCTCTCT